TTTGGCCTACTCCACGTTGTTTTCTTCCCCAAACAACTTCGTTTTCTCTTTACTCCACGACACTGTTTTAAATAAAACACTATCGTTTTAACTACCGTGGCATCATTGGGCTTACTCGCGGTATCGTTTTCTAATCCGGTATCGTTGGGCTCACTCGCGGTGTCGTCTTTAACTAAACGACACTATTCAACACAATCAAGAAAAATACCAATTTGTTAAATCGTCGAGTCTTGCACTCGTGTTGGGCTTGGCGGATTTCGGACCAAGCACTTATCCGATATGGTTTTTAATAAATCGGCATCGCTCACGAAGGCCTCTCGCGGTATCGTTTTCTAATTCGCGGTGTCGTTGGCCTACTCGCGACACCGTTTTATCCATCCACGATGCCGCTTGTCTCTAAGCGGTGTTGTTTCTCTCCTCTTCCGACAAGGAATAAACAAAAAGCACTCCTTTTCCAACAACAACACCAGCAATGCCGACTAAATTTGTAGTCCCGGCTCGCGGCATTGCTTTTTACCAAACAACGTCGTTTCTAGTACCGCGGTGTTGTGGGCTTCCTCGCGGTGTCGTTTAAACTATCTGCGACGTTGTTCGACTCCAAACGACACCGCTTTTTTTCATGCGATATCGAATTAAATGCCAAGACTAATTAATGCGGCATTTAATTAACCCAAAATAATTTTTGGGGTCAACAGTTCTATATCTATTTGATGCTTTTTTATTCTCTTTTCTTCGATGGATTTGTTCTCCATTTCTTTCTCTTAACTTAATGGGTTGTTTGATCAGGAAGGTGGCCATTGATTTCCAACGAAAAGTAGCAATCCGAAGATCTGTGTCTAGGTTATAGATCTACGTTGGATAGGACCCGCGGTGGGGGACGAGATCCACAACACAGGGAAACCAGTTTTTGCTGACTCTGGAGTTTGAGGTGAGAATTTGAAGGTTTTGCTTATCTCTTTCATCTGTTGTGTTTATCCGCATCTTATCTTAACTATGTTCTTTGGGTTCTATTCTCCAGTTCATCTTCTCTCGCTCAGTTTTCACCTATGAAGTCTCTTAGTGATTCATGTGCTCAGGTAATAGATATACTGATCACATTCCTGATAAATCGATCACCATGTGAATGCTTATGTGCCCTGGATGCTATGGAATAGAAACTTTTTGAGCTTTTCCTTGCTTTAAGGTTCTTCTTTTGTACTCCTGTTAATCTTATTGTCATGTACTTTTTTATTATGAATGCAGATTTTCCAAAATAGCAGAGATCGCTTGGATGACTATGCATATGTTAGAAGGGAAGCTCATAATGATCATGGGTTCAGATTTAGTCGGGAGTTACTTAGCTGGTCCCTCTTTTTGAAAGTCTTAGTTTTATATCTTTCTCACTCGATTCACGATAGGATGTGTTTTACATTTGTTCATTATTGTAGATAAAATTGGTGTTGATTCCAAGTTTTGGGTATCCTTTCATGATACAAGAGACATGACTATTAGCTAAGGCTCATCTTGATAGTTTTGTTCATCTTTTCCTGGGTCTGTTTTGGTATACTTCCAGTAATTGTGGGTGGTCAACTAACATCCTGATTTCTTTTTCTTTAATGTCTCTAGATAGATCTCATGTGGTGCTTCTACCGGGAGACACAACAAGACGCCAGAGGTTGGGTTTTAAGATGGATTCAGTTTTGTAATAATAACTAGCTTTTTACCCGACCCGTTGGTCGGATGAATTTAGTTTTATTTATTATATTTTTATATTAATCTATTTTTTCATATTTTCAAATAATTTGGGATCGTCTAAATAATTTATTAGTGGGTTGAAACTAATATTTGTGCGAATTATTGATTGTAACATTAGTTAGTTTATAAGTATTTGTATTGATCATGCTATCGCTTACTGTTGTCTATATATTTTTTACATCTAAGAAAAAAATCACTTCCTATTGTTAGAATAAATTACTTAAAAAATATTTCTTCATAAAATTTGATATTATTCACTTATTTTTCTATTATATCCATGAAAATAAAATAATTAAGCATTGAAGTATTAATTATAAACTCCAAGGGATTTTCCCTATTAGTAATTTGGAGGGATAAAAATTTATCAAATTCAAATTTTATGGTCGACAACCATTAGGTACTAATTGAGAAAATACAAAATTATTAACTAATAATTCACTTTTAAATAATATATATCTCCAAAAGCAGTTGTGGTTGTTAATAGCTAACATTAGGGGTATGCCTACTATGACATGCATGTCACCGTGACATGGACTTTTCGGTCGACCTAATCCTGAAGGCGGTCGACCGAATTGACTAATTTGGGCAGCACGAGAAAGCATTGCGGTCGACCTCAACGACCACCTGGTCGACCGCACTTAGTTTAAGTTGTCATTTTCTGTGGAAATCACGCATTGGAGAAGATGACCGCACTTAGTTTAAGTTGTCATTTTCTGTGGAACCTTTCTGCTGTTGGAATCCTTATCCAATACGGATACGGTGTGCATGCGGTCGACTTCTTACTAATGAGGTCGACCTGATAGGTGCACAAGGGTCGGCCTATGAGGTATTTGGGTCGACCTTTCATTCTGTTATACCACCAAAGAGGTTGACCATTTTATGTAGACGGTCGACCGCGTCTCTGAACCTCACATAACTGAATTTGTCAATTCGGTCGACCGCTTTGTGGATTAGGTCGACCGAAAAGTCCATGTCACGATGACATGCATGTCGCCGTAGCAAAATCCCTAACATTAATGTATACGGATAGTACAATTGTATTATAATGGACATATCTGAAATATTCCAATTATTTCTTCAAAATTTTAATTAAATAAGGCACTCTATAGTTCAAACATACAATCATTTGTTGTGAAAATTAAGTTTCTGAAAAAGATTCATGATTTTCGAAAATCAATATGGATTTTTTATAATTTATTTTGGTGTTGCCTTTGATATCTAAAAGTCAACACTTATAGATTTGTCTACTATGTCATTTGAAAGATTCTAAAAATTTATAACAAATATGTACCACCAACAAATAAAAACTTTTTTGTCAAAAATTTGTGTACCCATAAATTTGTTCTTAGCTTTGTGCTCGGCTTTTAGCTCGATAGTATAACATATGCTAAATTTACGACAGTCCTTGTGTCTGCCACCTATTTCATAGCATATTAGGTTTCGAGTATCCACAAATATTAGTACGCTTTCAACAATTATGTTTATAGTTACACGTATACTAACATTATGAAGTGAAAATTTACAACAATAAATAACTATAATAAAGAAAATTAATTAAAAAGAATACCATCCGTAAAGCTCAAGAATTATTAGTGAATTAGTTGGTAATCTATTATCCTCTTGCAAAAAAATGGACAATTACATTATGCTCATCGCTATTTTTGGAAGGTCATATGATCAACAATAAAAGTCGGGGAATTTCAAGAAGATTCTCAAAGATGTTTCCCTCCCTCCAGGCAAATGATCGACTTTGCTTTTGCTAGTAGAGAATGGAGTTGTTATACCTGCATAAAACAATGTCTCTTGAAATAGTGTTTATTTTCAACAACTTGCACAATTCCAAATTGATTCATAGGTCAACGCGATCACATATTTTATTGACTTATCTGTTGATCATTATAATTAGAAGCAACAAATAAAATGAAAAGCATAGTGATAAAGATGACTATTAATATCATAGACCGATAGACGCATCCCTCTTCGCTACTTTCTGTTGGCAACTACGGAAAAATAGAAACCTCTGGGCCTTCGAGAGACTATTGGCGCCGACAACCCAGTTAGCCTACCAAATCCGGCAAATGCGAGTGCAGATTGATCAATCTTCCAGGAGGATTGGGCAGGTTCTCGGGGAGGCTACAGAGCGGGTGGAAAGGGGAAATAGAATAGGGTTTGGGATTTTCACAAAAAGGCTACAATTTCCCCTTTATTAGTTGTTCCGGGCGTCGCCCACCAAAGTGAAAACGCGTCTCCGAGTGCCCAGGTGCCTAGATCAATCGCCCAGAGCTAGACTGGGCGATTTCCTCCTGCCCAGCTATTAATCGCGCCTAGGCGAGAGATTAATCGCGTCTTCTTGAACACTGAATAAAAGTGGACCAAACAAAGACATTACATCCAACTCATTTCAGTTCCATCTTACCACAGTATCGGAGGCATGTACTATTATTATACAAATGATCTTACGCTCTCAATTAGGAACTAAACGAAGGTTAAATGCTTGATTGGCAAACTAAATCGATGAACCTAGTGATCTTAAAGAAAAAATTAATGATCACATGATTTCTTGGACCAAACTACTAAAGGAAAAAAAGAAAAAAGAGACCGTACATTAGCATAAGAACTCAACAAATTACTTATAAGAACTAATGACATAAGGAAAATGTAAACTCAAACCGTTCTTCCGAAGGTCATGGATTAAATCATTAGTTGTCGATTACATAGCCTAAACTGCAAGTTATATCCAAAATAGAGGCAATTTAGAAACAAAAAAGTTAGATAAGAAAGCCGTGAAACACAGAAAAATTGAGTGAACAAAGTGGAAAGTATTGCTTTCAATTAAGCTTGATTATGTTGACATAAAGCAGGCACACATTGACGTTGGAAACCTAAACAAGAAGCTTAAAAAGTGGCAAGAGAATTCTTCCCTTGAGGTTCAAATATAGCCTACCTATATGAGTAGAGCCAAGTAATTACCATGATTCCATTTTACACATACCATCTCACAACCAACTGCTGCTAATGCTCTGGTCCGTTCCAAACCTCACCTGCTCATATCTCCAATACCATATCACGAAACCAAGAATTATACACAACTAAAAGATCCAATAAGGAGAGTAACTTAGCATGGAACTTTGTGATGGGGGCAAATTCTATGGTCAGTATTAAGCTGTGCAAATTATATCACCTCTGCAAAACTCACTACTTCCAGTAGTTTCTCACAGAACCAACTACCGTCCATCTCCGCCAAAACCACAGCTTCTTCCTTCATCCACGCATCTCTCCGTCGCAACCCCTCTCTAGGGGTTTCCTCCGCCCCAGTTCTCGGTGAGTACTCTTGACGCCCCCCTCCCCTGAAATTCACAATTACCTCTGGCTTTTATCAATTCATCTTGGGGGAACCAAGAAATTGAATCGATTGGGTGATATGCAGGGCTGCCGTCGATGGCGAAGAGAGGGAGAGTGGTGAAGTGCTCGGCGGAAGGAAACGGAAAAAACGGCAGCGGGTGGGAGAAGAAGGGGATGATGAGCGCTTCGGTGATGGCGGCGGTGGCCGCAGCAGCTGCGTCGAGCCCAGCGGCGATGGCTCCTCAACGGATGCGAGTAGCTGGAGCGATTTGTAGCGACCTTCTAGAGGCTGAAGCAGAGAAGAAAGAAGAAGCAGGGTTCGTGGCAGCGGGGGAGACGGTGGTGGCGGCGGCAGTAGTTGTGCTTCTCGCCGGAAGGGAAAGCCTCGATCGTCGACAACCTCTTCGCCACGGAGATAGTTCGCTGCACTCCCAAACGCGATCTCCTCAGTCGCAGCAGAAGCGGGCCGTCACTGCTAGGGGTGGGAATCGGTCGGTAAACGGTAAACCGTTTACCGAATTTACCGATTTCGGTATACTGACGGTGGCCAAACTGTTTACCGTTTACCGATACCGGTTTGTAACCGGTTTACCGATTACCGAATTACCGGTAAACGGTTACAAACCGGTTTACCGAATTACCGCAAATTTCACAAAAAATTTGAAAACAGTTCTGCAAACTAAATCCTCTCTTAAACCCTATTGTACAAGAACGGACTCGCTCTAAAGTTCGCAACTTCTAGAAACCCATCAATGGCGGAAGCTGGTATCCCTGAACTGCATGACCCCAGGCGGGAGATTCTTCGTGGCTACGAGCTTCGCCTCCTTCGCTGCACTTACTCTTGTCCATCTCAACCCCAATCTTCTCCATCTTCCGACATTCAACTGCCCACTACTAAGCTAAACGAACCCATCAATCAAGTTCTCACCTTTATTGAGAAAAGGAACTATTTCCAAGCTCTTTCCTTAGATATCGCTGCCGAGCTCTTCTCCTTTGGGTTTACAGGTGAGAACAGGGATGACACGAATGGCCGAGTTTGCTCGGAGTTGCTGGCAAACGCTGAGCGGTTTATAATGAATGGAATTGATAGTAACGACGTTGAAGAAATTGCCTTCAGAGCGTTCCGCCGTTCCCCATTCGGTATTTACCGATTTACCGACGGTAAATACCGACCCTGTGTCCGGTAAATTGGATCGTCGCCGCCGCAGCCGGATACCGATACCGACGATAATCGGTTTACCATTTACTGACCGTTACCGGTTCGGTAGAACGGTAAACCGGTTACCGTATTACCGATTGTCAGCCCTAGTCACTGCTTTCCGCCACTGACCACCAAAACGTCTGGTCGTCTTCCCTTGAACTCAGCAACAGCCGGCCGTCAGCGCCTTCCTCCGCTGAACACGAAACTGTGACGCCCTCTTACCAGAATTTTCCGATGGAAACTGATTCTCCTCCTGTCCTGCGGGTAGGCGAAAGAATAACGTGGGAACCCAGTAGAAAAGGTGGTATTTCAGCCAAACGAAAATTAAATGAAAAATAAATAATAACTAAATGATAACGTGGGAAACCTGGAGAAAAAGGTGGGTAGTGGACGATTCTTAGTTCTGCAATCTGGCGGGAAGTTATATTTTTTTCCCGCTCAACACCCTGCCACATCAGCTTCCTAAAATCACTCTATGGACAGGAAAATTTGAATGGGGGTGGCGGTTTTACTTTTCAGCTATAAATTATACTGTTGATAAAAAAGATGGATTCAGTTTTTGTTCATATGCCTAATTATCTTTCTGACTATGTTTCCTTATGTTGCTTATATGCAGCTGATGTTAGAAGAACGGCTGTTTAAGTGAACGTTCCATTCTAATTTGTGTGATTTGGTTGAATGCCCATGATTATTTTTCAGGTCTTTCTATTTATTTGAGAAAAGTAGGATAGTTAATGTTGTTTTCATTGTCAACAAGCTCGCAGCGGCGTGGGGGTGAACTGATTCTCTATAAAATTGGTTTCAAATTTTCCCTTAGTGTATTAAGTGATTTGGATCGTGGCCCACGTGACGCCTTTAACAAATATACATTACTTTTTGTGGTGAATGTTTAATATGTTCCCTGTTATGTACAAATCCAAATATTAAGCTGTGATTTGTACATGCCCTGTTTATGTGTTCACTCAACACGATAACAATAGATTACACAAATCAAACGTATCCCGCGGCAGAGCATATGCGGATTACTAGTATTTATAGTTTATGTAAGATACGACCTTACATGATACTTAAACAGGGGCGGAGCCAAGATTTAGCGATCGGGGGGCCGGAATTTTCATAATACGTTATCGAAAAGTCCAAAAAAAAAATACGAAGAAGCAAAAAAAATTCAAATAACTGATTTTTATGTTTTATAACCACACAAAACATTTGTTCACATTAATTTCAATATAAAAAGCTAATAATGTACATCAATAATTCAATATCGTGTATCTTTATAACTAAAAAGCGAATATCTACCATTATTATTAATATTTAGAAAAAAATTGGGAAGCAAGGCGGAAAAAATTGAAAATTGAAAATGCTTCCCATTGGGATCAAACTTATGACCTTGAAGGGAAACAACAACAAAATACCACTGGACTAAATACCTTTTCTTATCACTAGTTTGCACGCTAATTAATTTTTATTAATCGTTTAAGCTCGAGCTTGAGACAACTTAAAAATATTGTATCACATAGAGAAAATGACTGCTGGTAATTAGGTATATTTTCTATTATCTATTCAAGTCTTTTTATTAATCGTTTAAGCTCGAGCTTGAGACAACTTAAAAGTATTTTGGATTTTGGACTGAAGGATCCTGCGCGCACAACAATCGGACTACAGAGAGCGAGAGGAAAAATTGAAAAATTGAGATTGTCAGAGGAGAGAGGGACAGATTTCGATGCTTGAGAGATCAAGAAGATAGTGATTTGGGTTGTCGCAATCCCGTCATTTTGGATTTTGAAATTGTGGTGTAATACTTCTTTGTTATATGACACTAGAATCAATACCCACGGCTACGCCGCGGGGAGTATATTGCAATTGCAGATTCAATTGTGTTTAGTATATTTTAAAACAGTATAACCATAACAAAAGAAAAGAAAAGGTTAGAAATCATATGTAAAGAATACTAAACTTGAGGGCGGCCAAGCCTCACAAAGTCACAATAGCAAATGGCATGAAGGATCATCTACCGCCATCTCTGTTCTGTGTAGTTTCACCTTAGTGAGAGTTCACAGTTGTCATGAAAGCAAATTAAATTAGCTTAACCCTCAGATCCTTATGCTATCTGCTGCTTCTTTGAAGTATAGTAGAGAGCAAATCATTGTCCAAGGCATGTACTTGCTTACTGCTCAATTTTCAGACAAGGCAAGTGAGTTGTTCCTTTGCAAATATTGTACTGCCATTGCAGGAAGGAATGAGTAAGCTGAAGTTCAAATGGAAGTGTGTTGATAATGTGAGACATATCTATGCTATTTTGGTTCTATTTTCGCAACTGAAGTCCACAATAATTAGTCCAAACAATATTACGTTTTGCAAGTTCATAACAAACCATTATCATAAACCAAATAGTAATCAATCCTTCATTTTCATAAGAAAACTCCTCAATTAGCACATCCTTTACAATTTGCAGACTTACAGACAAATTAAGTCAATATAAGGGCTCTGGAACTTGTAACAACATGATGGGAGCATGAAAAGCATGCACCAATCTACTGAAACCATTCTGGTGCCAATCAATCTAACAAATATACACCTTGATATTCAAAACGATCTCTTCGCTCCTACACAATTGTAGGGAACCCGAAATGTTATAGGCTATCTACTTTACCTTTTTTCTAAACAATATCTATGTGACTCAAGTCAATCTCTAACAATATCCACTTTGTAGGTTAATGCTTCAATCTCCAATTCCTCTGCTCAAGAGAGAAGCATGAGCTTAAGGGAAGAGTTCAATTTCTAAAAACTCCTCATCTTGACTCGAAATCAAAATTTAGTGATGACGATGTAGCTGCTTTCAAAGACAAATGAGTTTACTAAAATTAAGTGTCTCAACTAAAAATCAGACCTCAAGATTTTGACTGAAAGAATTAGGAAGGAGCAATGTCAAATTGGAGAAAGCAATACCCAGATTGGATGATTATCCGGAGAAGAAAGCAAAGAACTTAACTGCCCATCCAGAGCACAAAATTAAAAATTAAGAATGTGATCAGATCCAAGAATGGCCCATATGCAGGCATAGCAGAAACAATTTCTAATAAGGCACACAATAGAGATCAAACAGCAAACAAAAAGGTGAAAAGTAGGAGAAGAAGCAGACATTATACTCAATGTTATATCTAGAAACACTATTCTTTTTCATCTATATGACTTTCTTAATGGGGATTAATTAGAAGCAAAAGCTAAGAAACATAACAATTAATAAGCAAGTATTCTGACATTTCATGGCCTTGATAAACACCTAGCAAATGAGATAGTCACACACACATTCTTGAAGTGAATTTGATGAACCTCCCTTCAAAAACAGTGACTCACGCAGCCTGAGAAGTCGAACCCAAAACTAAACTATGTTTCTTAAGTCCCATTTTATAGAGAATGCCTTAATCAACCAAAAAGGCAGTTAATTTGAGATTCCTACACTGAAACAGGAAATTCACATTCTCTAAACCACTATTGAAAGCATTCAGCCTACCAATCTCATGAACACATATGTGCCAGGCATGTAACTGAGGACTTCAACCTCAAACCACTCATCCAATCCCTGCAGATCAAATAAGGAGAAAAAAACACAAACTCCAAGGTCAAATAGTAATCAAAATTTAGTAGAAACAATACAGAAAGAACATAGTCCATTAGAGTCGTGGCTGATTCCGAGTGAGACCACAGATTCAAAACTCCAAAATTATGCTTCTTTCCTTCTTCTACATTTCATTTAATCCATTTTAGAAAAACAGAAACAACAACAGAAGCGATGATAAGAGAAGGAACTACCAGAAAATTTAAGCTCAAGCAAGGAGCAAAAAAATGGTGTTGGCTGCTTGCGGGTCTTTCTCCTTCTTTACCAAGTCTTCTGCTTCACAACTTCCTCCTTCCAGCATTTGTTCTACCTCTCTCACTAGAAGTCGCTCAGTCTTGATATTTCTTCTTCTGCTGCTAAGCTGCTGCAACATTCTCCAATACTTCTCCTCCCCTGAGTACAATATTTCAGAACATAAAGTTTCTTATTAGTGAGTGACTTTAACATATGGTGGTGGCATATGGTATATATCATTTAGTGAAAGAGAACGCCTAAGGGACAATAGCATGTAATCCCAATAGAAAGCTGTGAAATACCTCCAATTGCAGAACCGATGGCCGTTTTAAGTGCACCAACCAGCCCAAACCACCAACGGAGCCACCAGTCTGGGAAATCACCGTTGTGACTCTGAGTGAGCGACCCTAGTTCAGAGTAAAAAAGCATTCATTCCAGTTTGGACAATGTAAACAAATGCTGGTGGTCACTTCAGTGCTATTCAACCCAAACTATGGCTTCTTTTTCCTCCTCTTTTTTATAGTGTTCAGCACTGCCACAGACTTGTGTTCATTAGACTAACAAATATAAACAGATGATAAAAAGAACCTAACACAATTTCAATCGGAAGATGACAAAAAAGAAGAATACAGACAATTAGTTATGTAATTACCGTATAAGCAATGAGGTAAGACCATGGGTCATCGCAGCCTTTGGGACCACCTCCATTGATGAAGTCCACGATTGCCTTCACAGCCTCAACAATGTTTGTTATTGGAAAGGGAGTGATTCCCATGCTCTATTTAAACTTTCTCTATCCCTCCCATTACTCTGCACAACATGCTCCTTCCAACCACGCAATGGACAAAATAAGGCCTTAACTAAAACAACAAGCAAATTCGATAAATGGTAGGAGAATCAAAGGAAACTCACACAATCCTAAGAAAGTGAGCTCTGCCGGAAGCAGATTCCACAATTGTGGCACTGCTGTTGGAGTCGAATCTTCGAGAGGAAGATACCGAAGAGAACCCAGTTGCACTTGTTCCTCCCCAATTTATCCTTGGACGACTGGAGTTGGAAGATGGGGAAAGATAAAGTGACTCGAGAAGGACACAAAGATGAAGAACTAAATTGAAGGTGTAGATGAAAAATGAAAAATCGATTGAGAGAAGAGAACCAAGGAAATCAATCGGGTTTCAAAAGTCCGCGTGGACACAAATCAAATCGAGGAGGGGAAGGACAGCAGGTCGATGGGCGATGGCGTGTCTGCCAGAGGCAGCTAACCGTTAAGGTGAGATAAATGGTCGTCGTACGGGAAGACGCAGGAAAGTGGCGACTGCCACAGGCCTGTACGGCAAGCAGTGGGAAGCATGGGGCTCGCTCCATTGTTGGTTTCACTCCTCGTTCTACCGTCCGGAGATGGAATGCGGGACTGGGTTTAGGAAGGGCAGTAAGAAGCATGGGCGCTGCCGTGACTGAAAGAACCCTTTCCAACGGTGGCATGTAGCAGCAGCCATGACAGGATGCAGTAGAGAGGTGAGGTCACTGCTGCGAGTATGGATGGCAAGGGAAGGAATGGGCGTATATGGTGGACTGAGGGGAAGGTTTGATTTGGGAAGTTGCTCGCCGAAACCTTCCACGAATCGGCACTAAAAGACAGGAAGTGAAACAATAACACAAACAAGAGCGAAAAAGCATAGCCAGCTTTTATATACTAAAAGAATATATTTTCAAAAAATGTATACTCGAAAAGAAAAAAAGTTAGTCTCAACTTTGTGAGTGGGTCACAAAGTTCGCTTCGTGCATACTGGCCGGTAATGGCATAGGCATCGTTAGGGCTGGAAGTTTGGTACCAGTATTTGGGATATACCGAATACCGTATCGAATTTGTCTATATTTGGTATTACCGAATACACGTATTATTTCTTGGGATTGTGATTGGGATTGTTATTTGGTATTAGTGATTACGGGAATGGGATGATCGGTATATACCGAAATACCAAAATATAAACTAGTGTGTATTCTATCCTCTCAAATAGACTCTCTCATTCATTACTACACTACCCTCAACCACCAACCTATTGTTATTTTCATAACACAAAAAAACAAACACCAGTATTAGTCTTCTCTCAGTCTCCAATTCGTCAAATTAAAGATTACCAATGACAAAAACTTGAGATGTCACCTCTACTCCATTCTCCTTATCCATATCCTAGATCTAGCCAAACTCAAAACTCTTTGTTTAGTGTCTTTGTCCTATATTAAACAATCAAATATAATTTATATATTTAATTATTAATTGTAAAGGTAATTAATTTCGTATCCGATAATACCGATTGAGATACCGAATACCGATTGGGATACCGAAATATTTAGGGATTGATTCTAAGGTGTAATTCGGTATTCGGGATTTTGATATTTGATATTGGGATACCGATACCGTACCGATTTCCACCCTCGGGCATCGTGCTCCGTCGGTGATGGCCCTCTCCGTTGTGGAGCCTATCAATGTACTCTATAGTGGAGTCTTCCTTTCCCATATCATATTGCTTGGCTGGTGAGGATGTCTAAACGACAGCCCCAAGATCCTTTTGGATTGCCTATTCATTTTCTTGTTTTGCAGGTTAACTCTGGCTGCTGATGGAGCTTTATGGCTTTCTCAAAGGAAAGGTTGCGTCTTCGGTAGGCATTCCGGGTGCACTACTCTTTCGGGCTTTTGGAGTGAGTCCTTTGGAGGGGATGAATTTCCTGCTTGACACCTCTAGTGGCCGGTTGGATAATCCTCGACGAGGAAGCGTTTCACTTGAGATTGTAGGAACACAAATTTGGCATAGTTGTTTTCAATATTTGTAGATTTTCGTCCGTTTACTGTTATGTGTTTGTTCATTTTGCAGGTACATTTGCTCATAGGGCTGCCCATTTTGTGGTAAAACAGACACTTTCATCGGTAGTTCGATCATTTGTTGACTACCACATGGTGTTTTTTTATATGTTCTTTGACTCTGTATTGACAAGTGATTTTTGTAACACTTTAGGCAAATCCAACGTCGACAAAAGCACGAGAGATATCAATGGTTCATAAGTAAGAAACCGGCATTAACTTACAAGACACGTTTTGGGGTGAAATGGAGGAATTATTGGGAGAACTCTGAAGTTAAACGTGCTCAGTGTTGTACAACAAGAACGTGTGACCTTATGGGAAGTCACTTTGAATTGCACCGCAAGTCGAAAACCGTGAGGACCGAGGTTCTAAGCGGACAAAATCTTCGTCGAGAAAAGGTTCGGGATATTATAATTTACATACGCGGCTATTGTCTATGTGAAAAAAAAAACGATTCGGGTTCGGGTTTCAGGCTTTCAGCCACGGAAGCGGCAACTTTCGGCCCACCGCCATTCTGCGGCCTCGAACTTGATCCGTTTCAACAGTATGATAGATGATAGGCCAATTTTGACATAAAACGGCGAAGCGACCTTCACCCTCGCCTTTCCCGTTCCTAGGGTTCCGCTTGCCGCCCCCACTCGGCGGCGATGGCGAATCGCACTGACCCTGCGGCGAAGAGCATCAGGGGAACGAATCCGCAGAACCTGGTGGAGAAAATCGTTCGCTCGAAGATCTACCAGAACACGTACTGGAAGGAACAATGCTTCGGATTGACGGCGGAGACCCTCGTGGACAAGGCGATGGAGCTCGATCACATCGGCGGGACGTACGGCGGCACCAGGAGACCAACTCCTTTCATCTGCTTAATCCTGAAGATGCTCCAGATTCAGCCGGAGAAGGATATTGTGGTCGAGTTCATCAAGAACGACGACTACAAGTATGTTCGTGTACTCGGCGCGTTCTACCTCCGGCTGACCGGCACAGACATCGACGTCTACCGGTATTTGGAGCCGCTGTACAACGACTACCGCAAGCTCAGGATGAAATCGGCCGACGGAAGTAAGTTAATGCTGGTGCGCGATAAACCTAACCCCATCTAGAAGTGTTTGAAGTTCTTCTGATTATCTACTTTTTATGGTTCAGAATTTATCTTGACCCATGTGGATGAGGTGATTGACGAGCTGCTGACGAAGGACTACGCCTGCGACATTGCACTACCCCGTGTGAAGAAGAGGTGCGGAGTGTAATGCTTCATTTCCTTAACTTTGAATGCCTTCGATTTTGAGTGGAGCTTTTAACGTATATGATTTGGTTTGCCCAGATGGACCCTAGAGTCGCATGGTATACTAGAACCAAGGAAGAGTGTGTTGGAAGATGACTTTGAAGAGGAAGAAGAGAAAGAGGAGAACGAGCAGATGGATGCAGTGGAGAATGGTGTCAACGATGAGAAGGTACTGTCTTCTTCATTGTAGAACCCTTTTTTACTGGTTATGGCCTCTAGTAGCTGTATGCATTGACATGGTTTATGTAAACTTTGACAGGATTACCACCATGGGAGAAGCCCCACGAGAGAAAGGGATAGAGACAGAAGACGGGACAGTCATCGCTACAGGTTTGCCTCTTTCCGTTTGCTGTTTGGAATTCGTTTTGTGTTTGAATGTTAGTCTTATGTGTTGAGATAATATGCTATGCTGATATTTAGAGAGGAATAACTATCATGATGTGTACAATCTGATTGAAGATTGCTGTATTATTTGGTCTACGGATTGGAAGGATTAGAATCTGTTCTATTGCTTAACCCTAGCTAGATTGAACATGTTACTGTAGCTTTAGCTCCTCCATTAGTGGACCGAATAACTAAATGAGTATATAATTTACTTATGGTCCTTTTCATGATGTGCAATCTGTTTGTAGAATGCTGTGTTCTATGGTATAGGGGTTGGAAAGAGTAAAACAATGTGTCCTCCTACCAATTCCGGTCACATGGCTAGAATGAACATGTTACTGCATCACTAATCTGTCCAATAGTAAATAGTAACAGCAACTCTGAATCCTGATTTCCCTTAAAATAGCTAATTCAGTCATGGTTGGAAATGAAATGCTAGAGATGATTGAAGAAGATGCTTGTGGAAGCTGTTAAACAACATTCAGAGTACTCATGTACTTGTATGTACACTGTTCTAAGTGTCACCATCTCCACCGTGGCATTTCAGGCCGTTTGGTGGCTCAACTGCTTCCTACAGTAAGTAAAAGCTAATCGCTGATCCTGCCAGGTTTCTCTGCACTGACAGTGTGCAGCTGAGAAGTATGATGGATCAGACATTTTATGATTTCTATGTCATGGCATTGTTCTGAAATTTTCTCTTAACTTGCGAATACTTGCTTGGTGGGTTGCTCAATTGCTGGACTATTTAAATAGCATTCAGCTTTTCATTTTTGCTGTGAATTGAACTCTCTGTTAAATTAGGCTTGCCTTTAGGCTTACAGTTTTATTCTGGTGAATGAACGCATTCTCAAGGCCTTTTCGCTTTTCCTCTCTACGCAGGGACCGTGACTACGATAGGGACTATGATAGGGACCGTGGCCGTGGACGAGATAGAGACAGGGACCGCGATAGGGACCGAGACCGTGATAGAGACAGGGATCGTTACCGCCTAAGAGACGAGAAGGACTACAGTCGCGATAGGGACCGCGACAGAGAAAGGGAGGGAAGGGACAGAGAGAGGCGAGACAGGGACCGTGGCGGTGGGAGGCGGAGGAGTCCATCAAGGAGCCGGAGCAGGAGTAGAGATCGGAAGAGGCGTCGGAGCCCCAGTCCCAGAAGGGACGGAGGAGAGGAGGCCAAGAAGAAGGAGAAGAAGAAGAGCGAGAAGAAGGAGAAGAAAGATGACGGCACTGATCATCCGGATCCTGAGATTGCAGAGGCCAACAGGATCCGTGCATCTCTTGGTTTGAAACCACTGAAGTGAGCTTTTTCTGTTCTCCGCAACCTTTGGCGGCATGGTTTAGTGCGTATAGTGAGCCTTTTGGTTTTTTAGCTTCTGCATCACATATTTGTAGTGTAATGAGTTTGTCTTTAGAGTTGAGAGTGTTCCGTAATTGGATTAGAGAGATCAGTGCCTATGCCATTGCGATGTACTGTGTCTGTGTATCATCCTTTTACATGTTCGAAGTTCCAACCATCTACTATTGGTCACAGAAAGCCAGTGCTAGAAACTATTTAAATATGGATTGCCGGCCACGGATATTGACCATCTCTTATTCTACTTAAATTAGTTCGGGTCATAACAATCGAGTAGAACATAAGAAAATCAAAATTATACAAGAAGCAATATCGGATCACGTCAACGGTTATCCATTGGTAATTATTTATATTTATAACTTAACCAATATGTTAATATGTAGATGTATATTGATATTACATAAGTGAAAAAAATATATAAATAGATTACTAAAACAAAAATAAAAAATTAGTATAAATTAATACAATTTGATGAATGTATAATAAATATCTAAAGAAAAATAATTATCATTGTTAAACAAAATACATGTGCATGTGTAATCAGGGAGGTTCATTTTGGAAGGTGATAAAATCATGTCCACCTATTATCTGTGATACTTGATTCGATTTTTATATAATCAATTAAAAATACTTTGAAATCGAGTTTTACCGGACTCGATTAGGTCGAATTCACGTTGCTATCGACGAATCCGGTTATTTTTGCTAGCGCTAAATGCTTAACATTTGTAGCATTTTCCTCAAAAGGCTTTTAGCCCAAACACGTTCCAATGATACCCGCACCGCCCCCTCCAGAGCGAATCCGAGTCAGAGAAGGAAAGAAGAGGAAAACTATATAATAAACCCTTTTTCCCCACCCCGCCAATCGCCACCACAACTCCCAAGCTAAACCCTGCTGTCTCTTCCTCTTACTCTCTCAGCCGTTGCGAGATCGGTTTCACTGAACGACTCTGTCGTCGTCTGCGGATTACCGCCTTTGTTGCGGTCCAGATACGCTTGATTTTGTCTATTTGGCAGGTCGATCGGATCGATCGGTTTTGATAGTGTTGCACCATGTCGAATTTCACGAAACCGGAGAACGCGTTGAAGCGCGCTGAAGGTAGGTTTCTTTATGTCCAATAGTTACCCTAACTTTTCCCCGTTCTGGAAATTGTATTAGTGAATCGCTGAAGTCAAGTCAAGTGGATGGTCAATTTAGATTTTGGTTTTAGTTTGTATATCTCAGTTGTTCTCTTGTGTGGAAATTTTCTGCTTCTGGTGACGTTTGGATATAATGGTAGATTATGGGTTTAAATATCTTGATATTGATGTTAGTTGTTTAGATGAATCTGTTGATGGCTGAATTGAGCGAGACACTTATATACATACGCTTGTTTCGCAGAGCTGATAAGTCTTGGACAGAAGCAAGAGGCTCTTCAGACTCTTCACAGCCTGATTACCTCGAAAAGGTATCGAGCATGGGAGAAGTCGCTCGAGCAAATCATGTTTAAATATGTCGAGCTGTGCGTCGAGATGAGAAGATGGAGATTCGCCAAGGATGGACTGATGCAGTATCGCATAGTGTGTCAGCATGTGAATGTGAGTTCCTTGGAGAAGGTGATCAAGCACTTTATGCATCTCTCAGCCGAGAAAGCTGAGCAGGCTCGAACGCAAGCACAAGCGCTGGAAGAAGCTCTTGATGTTGACGATCTCGAAGCTGATAAAAGACCAGAAGACCTGATGCTTAGCTATGTCAGTGGGGAAAAGGAGAAGGAAAGGTCTGACCGCGAGCTTGTTACCCCTTGGTTCAAGTTCCTGTGGGAGGCCTATACAACTGTGCTGGAAGTCGTGAAGAACAACTCAAACTTGGAGGCACTATATGCGGTAATTTTTCCTGACCTTGATTTTAGCTTTCAATGGATGCTGGCTCCTCCATGGAAGTACATATGGTCGAAACTGAATACGTTATGTATTTTGTGACCTGCAGATGACTGTACGTAGAGCCTTCCAATTCTGCAAACAATACAAACGAATTACTGAGTTTAGGCGCCTGTGTGAAGTTATTAGAAATCATCGTGCCAACCTTCACCCTGAAAGCTTGAAGATGAATCTCAATATAAGATTTGAGCAGCTCAAGGTTGCCACTGAGCTTCAGCTCTGGAAGGTATATAACCTGATTCATTAGTTGTCTGTCGATTGAGATTTATCCATTTCAGGAGCTTACTTTATCTTGGTACTCTTCTGATTTGCATCTACAGGAAGCATTTCGCTGTGTGGAAGATATTCACGGCTTGATGTGCATGGTGGAGAAGACTCCCAAGGCGTGGGTTGTGTACTATGCTAAACTGACTGAGATCTTTTGGATCTCTTCAAGCTATCTTGATCATGCATATGCATGGCTCAAGATTTTCACCCTCCATCAGAGCTTCTACGAGAACTTAGGCAAGAAGAACTATCAGATGATTGCTTCGGCTGTTGTTTTGGCAGCTTTAGCAGTGCCTCCATATGACACTCGCCGTGCATCTCATGTGGAAAATGAAACCGAGAAGGTGCTTAATCTGGATGCCAAAGCTGAGAGCAGAGAAGAGGCATTGCTGTTAATACTTCATTTTGTTGGTTTTCATTGATGAATTGCTTTGAAACTCTTGTTTTCTCTTATTTTGCAGCTTTCAAGGGCGGCTCTTCTGTCTGAACTGGTAATTTGAGAAATACTCTTTCTTTTATAATTTTGGGCCATTAGCCTAAGCTATAAGTATCATCTGTAGGGAAGGGTACAATTTGTTCTGCAGTTGTTATTCTTTCTTTTAACCCCGTCATCCATTTGGGTTCTCTTACTTAAACTTGTGTCGCCTTGTCATGTTTTGACATTATGATCAGGTGTCCAATGGTGTGCTGGGCTGTGCGACTCAAGAGGTGCAGGATATTTATCATCTTCTAGAAGATGAGTTCCTCCCCGTTGATCTTGGTGCAAAGTTACAGCCTTTGCTATCCAGAATCTCTGGACTTGGGCTAAAGCTTGCTTCAACTGCTTCTATGCAAGAGTATAAGCTATCCCAATACATCCCTGCCCTTGAAAAGCTTGCTACTCTCAGATTGCTCCGACAGGTACCTGATTCTCTCTTCCTTCCCACTTTATGTTAGCTCTGGACAGCCCGGTTATCGTATCCTGACAATGAAATTTGTTCTGTTCTTCCAGGTCTCTCAAGTGTATAACACAATGAGGATTGAGAACTTATCCCGTATGATCCCCTTCTTTGGTTTCGATGTTGTGGAGAGAATTGCAGTTGATGCAGTGAAACACGAGTTCATTGCCATGAAAGTGGATCATATGAATAGTGTTGTCATGTTCGAAGATGTGGTACATTTTTCTCATATTGGTTCATGTTATTAGTCCCGTTAGAGCTTCCAGAAATATTGAGTGTATATGTGTTTTAGTTTTGATCATCCTGCAAACTTCTTTCAGCTCCTCGAATCTGATGGCCTTCGAGACCATTTGGCTGCTTTCGTCAAATCCCTGAACAAAGCAAAGGCCATGATATATCCTTCTGCTAAGATATCATCAAAGCTAAGTGACATTTTACCTCCACTGGAAGAGGCTCTTTATAAGGAACACAAGGGACTTCTTGCTAGAAAGTCGATAATAGAGAGACGAAAGGAAGAACAAGAACGCCAACTTCTCGAAACAGTAACGTCACATTTTATACTCTTATTGAATAACCTCCTGTGCTGTAATTTGGTTGTGTTATAACACTAGGATGATCTTTCACAGGAACGAGAGCAAGAGTCGAAAAGATTGTCCAAACAGAATATAACAGAAGAACAAGAGCAAAAGAGGCTTGCAGCGGAGCATGAACGCCTGAGGAAGCAGAGGATTCTTGGGGAGATTGAGGAGTGCAAACTTGAAGAGGCACAGGCGTTGCTTGATCAAACTGAGAAGCATAGTAAGAGGCAGGAAATGGTGAAGAAACTGCATAAGCTTGCCAAAACAATGGATTATCTGGAGCGGGCTAAGAGAGAAGAAGCAGCTCCATTGATTGAAGCCACCTTCCAGCAACAGCTTGTCGAAGAGAAGGCCCTACACGAACGCGAACAACAGGTGAGCTGTCTTCCTGCATGAGCTTTATTAATTTTTCATGGCTTCATTTGTTAAATCCTTAATCCGCTGCATGAGACTTCAGTATTAACAAGTAGGTCGAATGGTTCAGCTGGAGGTCGAACTGAGCAGGCAGCGCCACGCTGGAGACCTCAAGGAGAGGAATAGGCTGTCCCCCATGATTGATAATAAGGTAAAATACACACTGTCAATCCACATTGCACTCTGCTACTAGGCTTGTTTTGGTGGTGCTGATACTGCCGTGTTTTTGGGGCCATATACGTGCAGATGAGTTTCCATGAGAGAGTGATCGCCCGTCGACAAGCAGAGTTTGAGCAAAGGCAAGCTGCGAGGATCAATCAGATAATTCAGACTAGGAGACAGGACAGGGAGATCCAAAGGAAGAAGATATTCTACGTCAAAACTGAGCAGGAGAGGCTCGCTAGAGTCAAAGAGGAAGGTAAAATACAAGAAGCTGAGTGCGAGGCAAAGCTGGGCGAAACAGCAGAGAAGCATGGGTTCCCTACTGCTGCTGCACCCCAGAGATACGTCCCGAGGCACCGTCGTGGTTGGTGAGGGTTTTGATTCTATCATGTTGTGGAGGAGACAGAGACAGAGACAGAGACACTATGCTAATAATGTTGAATGAGTGACAAGTGGCTGAGTTGATTGTTTATATTGGTATCATGGTTTTTCTCAAGTTTTGATTGTATCATGGCTTGTGCATAATGTGGTTGAACAGACTGCTCTGCGATTTCGTGGTACTAGCAAGGAGCCGGTTAAGTAAAGTACCCGTGTAAGTTTATGAAACCAAATCGGCGTTCTGAATCTGAATATATTTTGCAAGCTTGGTTACTAGCATTACAGAAAATGTTCATGTTTGGTCACTCAAAATAATTAATTCAGCTCGTAATCACTAAAATTAGTTAAGCATATTAAGTTTGGTCACTCTCGGTCCAATTCCGTTAACTTTTGATTTAAATGTATGACATGTCAACTAAAAATTAATTATATTTTATATTTTCCACCTCATTTCCGATTTTGGGTCCATATCGATTTTTCGCTTCTTCTTCGCTGGCGAACTGTTCCGACCCGGTCGTCCACCGCACTAGACTAGACAGCCTGCTCAAGGATGAACGGCCGGGCAGAACCACCCGGTACTCTGACGACCTCAATCTCGTTGCTCCACGGCCTAGGCTCCTTACGGCGCGGAACCTCCGGCGAGTGGCGTCCATCGAGCTCCCCTCCAGTCACCTTCTGCAGGCCCTTTCCGGTGTCAGATCCGATGAGGTCAATTCAACAATCCGCCGGCTAACAGCGTTAAATGGGGAGAAAGGCAGCAACCCCGATCCGGTGAATATATATGACGACTCTACTTTTCGAGCTGGTGCTGAATTCGGCGATGAGGACAATGGTAGGCAAGCGATATTACGGCGACGAGAGCGTGGTGGATTTTGAGGAAGCGCGGCGGTTTCAGGAGTTGACGATGGAGACTATGCTGATTTCGTGTAGGTTCTGAGATGGGTCGATGGAATTGGGAGGAAAGGGGAGAAGATAGTGGAGTTTCAAGGGGAAGAGAGATGGGTTTATTTAGATGTTGATTGAGAATTGAAGGAATGGAGATGCGGTGGATGTTCAGGGATGCCGGGAGGGAAGAAAAGAAAACAATGGTTCAATTTTTTGTTTACTCTGCAGGAAAAAGAACCGGAATTCTACACCGACGACGTCATCAAAAGCCTTATTCCGGGTCTATAATTATAGCTTTGGCTAAGCTAGGAGTTAGTATATTTGGCAGAACAGAAACCACACTCCTCTCCGTCGGCGCGGGACAGGAAGAAGGCGAGGGAGCTTGGCTTGACATTTCCGATAGAGAAAGTGAATCTCTTGGAGAAAGAAGCGGCGGACGGCCGGGTCGGAACACTTCTCCACGGACAAAGAAGCGAAAAATCGAGATGGACCAAAATTGGAAATGATCTGGAAAATATAAAAATTAAATTTTATTTATTTTATTATTTTTTAATTGTCATGACGTCATGTATTTAACGGTCAACTATAAAAATTGATTGCTACATAAACAAAAGTTAATGGAATTGGACGGAGAGTGACCGAACTTGGCATACTTAACTAATTTTAGTGACTACGAATAGAATTAAATATTTTGGGTGACCAAACATGAACGTTTTTTATAATTCCAGTGACCAACCTTGCAATTACCCTATTTTTTTAGGGCATTGCTATTCGTCGCCCTAAAATTTCTTATTCGTCGCCCTAATTAAGTTAAATTTACTTTAATGTCCTTAATTTATTTATTAGTCTTTCAAACACTTAAACCCTATGCCCGACTACCTCGCCGGAGGTCAAATCGTCGTCATCATCACTATGTGAATAAAAGCAGAAGGTAAAAAACACTTTTTTTTATTTATTTATGATATTTTGGGGTCCGACGAGTTGAAGCTCGCCGGCAACAGTACGGGAACATTTGAAGATTGATAAAGGGTTTTGAATTGGATGAACGGATTACAAACAAAAAGAGAAATGCTTGTAGATTAAAAAAGGAAATTGGTTACTTTGCAGTCATTATCACTGCTTTTGATGGGAATTACATGATGCTATCTTCTAATGAAATTAGAGCAAGTTTGAAAGATGAAAAGAAGATAACTTGGGAAGAAAATAAATCCCAAGAACACTTGAACCAAAGATATCAGAGTTCCCACTTCTATATATCTACCCACTACCCAGAAACCCCTTCACTTGTAGATGAAAAGACTGAAGAATGAATCGGTCGAGGAACCCTTCTACAACTCTTGCATGTGCTTGACTGGTTGTTAAACGTTGATGTAATCTAAATCAATTGAGGAGTCAACAAGGGCCGCTTTCCTTCTCTTTGTCGACGTCAACACAGCAGCTAGCGGCGGCGACGGTTCTTCTTCATTCTTCTCCCCGCCAATAGAGCAGCAGCTGGCAACTTTCACTTGCTTCTTCTTGGAATGGATGGAAGGGGGATTAGAAGCGGCGGCGACAATTAATTTTTTATTAGCCATTTGTGAGAATGGAGGGGCGGCGGCAGCAGTTCTTCTCTGCCCAGAGGTGGTTGTCGGGTTTGGAGGGTTAAAATTGGACTAAGGGTGAATATGTCATTTCGGTATAGTTTAGGGCGATAAAATTCAAATTTTAGGGCGACGAATAGCAATTCAGTTTTTTTATTGACAAATGGGCAATTTACCCTTTTCTAAAGCCGAACAAGACTTTTACTCAAACAACTCATCAAATGTGATAATTAACCAAAATCACTCATACCAATTCCGAATCTTAGTGACACGTACAAATGAATTTGATTATGGTTAATATAACTTAAATTGCTTATTAATTTTTTTTATCCAAGGCAAGCCCATAGGGCATGAGACAAAGACTTGACATGACTACAAGACCGACTTAAAACCAGCGCATTAGTCTGTATGCAACATGACTACAAAACCACTACTTGGGCAGCTCTAAAGATGATCCGAAGAGCAAAGACACGATACCGATGGGAAAAAAAACTCAACATCTCCGAAGATAGTCCTGCCACTGAGTGTAGTTTCCTTCGACGGAGTATTCTGATTCGGGCCTAATTGTACACTTTTTACCCCCTATTATCTTTGACGTTTGTTGCAATTGAACTCCAAAAAGGTTGGTTTTCCGCGAGGTTGCTTGTGTTTTAGTGTGTTTCAGATCCTAACAGGTAAAACCAAACCCGGAGTCGAAAGTTGAAAGAAAAGGAGCACCGAGCAAAGAGGTAAAGACAGTCGCAGTTCACGGTCTTACTGGATCGTGAACTGAAGCCATGACCCGTGAAGCGAGGAGCAAACAGAGGGGGTTTTCAGGTTACTGGCGCCCAGGCAGTTCACGGTCGCTAAAACCGTCAACAGGGGCCAATGACTGTGAACCCCAGCAAGAGAAGCGGTGCGTTTTGGTCGCAGCGCTGAGTTCACATACGCGTTTCAATGTTCACGGCCGTGAACTCAGGCCGTGAACTCAGCGCGATCTCCCACTTAAAAGGAAAGCTGAAGGGAAGAAGGAGGAGAAGATCTAGAGTGAGAAAACTTCTCCTTCTTCAGATTTTAGAGTGATAAAGTGACGAACCAAAGAAGAGGAAAAGCAAGGGTTTGATCTGCAAGCAAGGATTTGGGTTTTCTTCAACACAAGGAGCAAAACTTGCATCTTCATGATGGTTTTCCTTTCTCTCTTTTGTGTTTTCCCTTCTCCTAGCATGGAGTAGTCCCTTACTTCACTTGGGTGGTTGTAAACCCTAGCTACAATTATGTGAATGCTTGTATGAATTGAATGATTTGTGTGTGGTTGTGTTTTAATGTGAATGTGGGGGTATTATTCAGAAATGATTATGTTGTGTGAAAGTCTATCAATCTAATTGCCAATTTAACCTAGATTAGAGAGGAAGCCTCCTTAGGTTAAGCGGCTCATTATTGAGATGGGGTTCTTGGGCATTTCATGCCTCCTAAGCTAGTTTAGAGAGGAAACCTCCTTCACCCAAGAGGTTTGGTTTCCTTTGGCATTCAAAGCCTCCTAAACTAGTTTAGAGAGAACCCTCCTTAACCTTAAAGGCTCATTTCGAGATGGGTTTCCTTGGGCATTCAATGCGTCCTAAGCTAGGTTAGAGAGAACCCTCCTTAACTTAAGAGATGGGTTTCCTTGGGCATTCTATTAGGGGTGGGCAACCGGTTCGGTAAACCCGAAACGAACCGAAACCGAATTAATGCTATTCGGTTCCGAATTCGGATTGAAAATATGGATAGTTCGGAAACCAGGGTTCTCTCAACCGAACCGAATTTCCGACCGAAAAACGAAATACTATAATTGCAAGCTCCAAATGGTGGATTTTTATGTTTGTAGTTGTTTTTAGACTTAAATATTTGAAATAATTTATGACTTATGTGTTGAAAAGTTTGATTTTATCATTGATGATGCATATAATTACATATTTATTGTTTAAATTAGGGTAAAAAATAATTTAAAAGTGAGAAGATAGAAGTAGCTTCATAAATTCGGTTTTGTGTGAAAAACCGAACCAAACCTAATTATAATTCGGTTTAAATCGAACGAACCGAATTATAATTCGGTTCGAATTCGGTTTGAGGTTTGGGAGAATTCGGGGACCCGGTATTCATAATTTCGGTTCGATCGAAACCGAACCGACTGAATGCCCACCCCTACATTCTATGCCTCCTATTCTAGGTTAGTTAAAGGGCAAACCTCCTAATTCGTATTAAACACTTGGGGTTTGGTTGTGGGTGGCCGTCCGAACTCCAATTCGAGGGTGAAGTCTAACCATTCCTTAGTCGATAGGTTGAGAGGGTCACATCAGTGGGTTGGATCGTATCCCATTCCTCAACCTAGGGTCTAAGAGGGTAACTTTGGTTTCTCTAGACTTCCCTGCGGTTTATGACCCCCTAACCACACACGGTAGTTCGATTCTTCAAGTCATAATTGTTATTAGGGGGAGCAACACCCAGGTTAAGCTTTCTCAACTAGAGTCAAATCCATTTTACCTTTGGAAAGTAATTTAGTTTTCAACCTTCGTTTTCACCAAAACTGATCTGCTAGATAATTTTTCAAACAGTCGAAGTAGTGGTACTTGGACCGGCCCAGGCCGATATTTAAACATACTTGCCCTATATTGCACCCATATAAAGTTTATACTTGGACCTTAGGTGGGATTTTATTGTGATAGTTAAAGCGAGTCAAGTTTTTGGCGCCATTGCCGGGGATCAACGATCCGTTATCGTAAAAAGTTTGTTTGGTGTTAATCTACCTTTTAATTTCTGTTTGGTTGAGTTGTGAAGTGTTTGCCTGTGCTAGACGTGTTGTGTTCTTTAAGTATGTGCGAGGAGGTTCATGACCCGGAGCAATCCGGCGCATTTAACACCACTGGATGAGGAAATCAACCGGACCCTCTGACTTCTAGCTTGAGAGAGGGAGAAAGCAGAGGGAAGAAGGAGAAGTGAAGAAAGGGGACAACAAGTTGGTCCCAGAATTGAAGTTGAGATGGCAGCAAATTAACACCGAGGGGCTAATCCGCTTCCAAACCCAAATGGAGAAGCGGGAGCCGAGGAAGAGCCAAGGAGTATGGGCGATTACATGGCTTCACGGGCGGCAGATATCCAATCTCCCATCTTACATCCACCTGTGGCCGCCAACAACTTTGAGATGAAGCCCTCTCTCGTGAGATGATTCAACAAAATGCTTACTTCCACGGGCTAGCCCATGAATCACCACGAGAGCATGTCCAAAGGTTCCTTGAGCTAGCGGGAAGCTTGAAGATAAATGGCGTCCCCGAGGAGGCATTCCTATTGAAGCTCTTCCCCTATTCTTTGGCGGGGAAGGCACCCCGATGGCTCAACAACCGTCCGGCTCTATCCATCATCTCTTGGGATGATCTACTCAACAAGTTCATTACCCGA